GTAAAAACTCCACAGAACAATTTACATTAACTGTCAAGGTTTCATAATTTTCTGTTCTCTGAGATCATCTAGGCAGCGGTCTTGCCCTCTGGACTCTGGGTGTTGGCCATGCTCTCTGTATTCTGGGTGGAGGCCTTTTGGCCCTGGGCTTCAGCTCTGCCTTCCAGGGCCACTGGGATGGCAACTCTTTCCTTCAGCTTTGGGCAGCCCCATTTTCCTAGCTCAACTGAATGCTGACCCCACCCTGTAGGCCCTTGCAGGCCTTTTCTATCCCTTGGGCACAGCAGTCCCACTCCCTCAGCTTTAGGCACAGGATCTAGCTCCAACTCCCTCTGACACTTGTGACTGGTAGCCCCATACTTCAGAACTGAGTTAGTGAAGATCTGAGTCTTTGAAACCTAGGATACTATGGGCCCACTCTTAGAGACCTGGGATGCCATGGTCCTTCACTTTGATACCCCAGAGGTGTGGCCCTACCCTAAGGCAGCCCTGCTTCCCATTCTCCTTGTCTCTTCAGCTTCTGCTTCCTGGTTCCTGGGTCTCTTACAAGGCCAAACTGGCCTCTGGCCTGCTCAGGCTAGTGTTACAAACTTTTAGTTCTACTGCTAAGTGCCCTGACATACCGCACCATGCTAGTAAGCCTCAGCCTGAAGGCGCTCAGTTCTCTAACTCCATGGATTGGCTTGTCTTGCGCTAGGCTACTGGTTGTGCTGTGGTCCTTTCTTTGCCACTGCTTCTTCTTTTTAAATTGTGGTTTGGGTGAAAATTTACAGAGCAAATTCACTTTCCATACAGCAGTTCATATACCCTTTGTCTCATGACATCGACCACAATTTACTACAATGCAACAGCTCCCCTACCTCTTCCTCCCGATAATTATCTCTTCCCTGTGTCCATCCCTCCATGCCCTCCTGCCCCCTGAGCTGTCTCCCTGTGCATAAGCAGCCCTTCTTTCTCCCATGATTGTTCTCTCTAAGGAGTGTATCTACCTCAGGTAAATGTTCAACTCATATGCCTGTCTTTTGCTTGGCTGAAAGCCACCGGTGTGGGTTCAATCACAGACCTGAAGGGCAACTATGGGCCATAGTCTCAGTGGTTCCACCAGGCTCTATCAGACCAGCAAACTTGGTCACTCTCCCCTCTTTTCTTTATTCTCCAAATGATTTTGAGTTTTGTCTACATTGTTCTCCCTTTCTATCCAGGATCTCCTACATAGATCCCCTTCCAAGTGGCTGACATTGCTTGCTGGGCACCATCTAGTTCTTCTGGTCTCATAGTAGTATAGGCTGCAGATTGGATGGTGTACCCGTCACTAGGACTAATTGTTTCCATGAATTTTTGGTTTTCTTCACTCTGCTTTGCTTTGGACAAGAAGTAGACCCATCATTGCATCCAGAAGGCAGCTTGCTAGCTTTTAAGATCCTAGTCGCTACTAGCCAAAGTAGGAGGTGGAACAATGTTTTGTGTAGTATGTTATGCCAATTGAACTTGATGTCCCCTGTGACTATGGTCCCAAGCCCACAGGTTCAACTACTCGATCCCTCTGGGTAACTGGCTGTGACCAAGCAGTGACTACCACCTTGCCTCTTGCCAGCTCTACTATACACCTGGGAATTCAGATCATACACATAAACTTACAGGAACACTGTCTGCCAACCCTATACTTGTTCTTGGGTACACTCTCCGCTTCATAGACATACCTACTAGTTCAGCCTGTCCATCCATCTATCCACCTGTATATCCATGTTTGCCTTCACTGACAGTGCAGTACTGAATGTGCAAAAGGGTTCATCTTTGTTGTCTATACCTCCCATGTACCTCTCTCTGTCTTTCTCTTCCTCAATGCCATCATATTGATCTCTCACATTTGGTACATTGCCCTTCTCTTCACCCAAATCAATATTTACCTCTATCTATCTAACATGCCACTACTTCTTGCTGTTCTTTGCCATTTCTAGTGTTATAGCTCTCTTCACCTTCTCTGAACTCTTACTAGAACTGCCTTTTATATCTGTAATTTCACCAACAGTCTAGTTTAGGAGGTGTTTTTTTATGAGGTACCTTAAAACTTTTCCAGCCTCTACTCATTACCTAATTGTAAAACTGCTTCCACATTTTAGGTATTTGTAAGAGTAGCACCCCACTGTCATTACCAAATTTTGTCTTAGCTATCTAGTGCTGCCTATAACAGAAATATCATAAGTGGATGGTTTTAACAAATAGAAATTTATCTTATCACAATTTAGGAGCCTAGAAGTCTGAATTCAGGACACTAGCTTGAGGGAAAAGCTCTCTCTCTCTGTTGTCTCCTTTCAGGATCTGTGAGCCTATGTTCCCTGGAGATCTCCATGTGCCTTGGCATCAATCTTCCCCTGGGTTTAGGAGGTTCCCAGCACATGGATCCTGGGCCCAAAAGATGTGCTCTGCTCCTGGCTCTTCTTTTTTGGTGGTACTGAGGTCCTTCTCTCTCTGCTTGCTTCTATCTTTTGTAGAACAAAAGGTACAGGCCACACCCCAAGGAAATTCCCCTTATATTGGATCAGGGCTGTAACTTGATTAAGGGTGCTACATCTCACCTTAATCCTCTAACCACTGATTGGCTGATCACATCAGATCACATCATGGGGGATGATTACATCATTACGTAAGTGCCAAACAGCATCATTACATAACGGCCAAACCACTGAGAATCATGACCCAGCCAAGATGACATATATTTCTGAGGGGCACAATTCAATGCATGATACCTCCTAACTATTTACATAGAAGATTCACAAACTGCAAAATAGAACTTATCAGATACATCCTTGAGTGGTAAACACCACAAGATAAACTCCAGGCCTCCTTGGGTGACTCAAACTAACATTTATTTGTTGTTGTTGTCAGATGCCTGGAGAATTCAGAGCTAAACAAAAGCAAATATTCTTTCTCCCTTATACACCATTAATTACTAATCCTTTTATCTACTGGTGACAAAGAAAAAAAAAAGCAATAGCATTTATTAAATGCTTAAATATATGCGTTAGGTATTTGAGTCAATCCTATAGGGGCTCTGGCTTATATGACTTTTGTGGACAACACCAAGCCTTTCTATCTGCTTCCAGGTCTGGCCCTTGACCAAGACTTTAGTTTCTGTGAGCTGGGGTGGTCTTCCCTATACTGAGGCCAGGCCTTAAGACCTTAGTAAAACACTGGGAAAATCATGCTTTTCATTCATGGCTTTCATTTTGTTTTTATTTCACCTGCCAGCAGCAAGGAGGCAGTGTCATGCTGTGGCACCTGAGATGGACTGGGTCAAGGGAAAAAGGCAGTGAAGATGGGTCAAATTCTGCATTTATTGGTCACTAAGGCTCATGATAGGAGCTCTGGTAGCATAGTGGCTAAAAGCACTTGACTGCTAACCAGAAGGCTGGCAGTTCAAACCCACCAGCCACTCCTCGGAAGGAAGGTTGGGCAATCCTACTTCCGTAGTGATACTGCCTCGGAAACCCAAGGAGGGGTCGCTATGAGTCGGGGCCGACTCAACGGCACATAACAACAACAACAAGGCTCATGAAAAGTGGAGAACAGATTGACATTGTTGAAGATTTTATACTGGTTCCACAATCACTGTAAGTAGAAGCAGCAGTCAAGAAATCAAACAGCGTACTGTACTAGGCAAATCTGCTGCAAAAGACCTCTTTAAAGTGCTGAAGAGCAAAGATGTCTCTTTGAAGACTAAGGTGCGCCTAACCCAAGCCATGGTATTTTCAATTGCCTCATATGCATATGAGAGCTGGACAATGAATAAGATAGACTGAAGAAGAATTGATGCTTTTGAGTTGTGGTGTTGATGAAGAATGCTGAATGTACTGTGGACTGCCAGAAGAACGAACAAATCTGTCCTGGAGGAGCTGCAGCCAGAATGCTCCTTGGAGGCGGGAATGGCCAGACTTCATCTCACCTACTTTGGCTGTGTCAGAAGGGACCATTCCCTGGAGAAGGCTATCACACTTGGTAAAGTACAGGGTCAACAAAAAAGGAGAAGGCCCTCAATGAGATGGATTGACATAGTGGCTTTAACAATGGGCTCAGGTGTAGCAGGGATTAGGAGGCTGGTGCAGGACCGGGCAGTGATTCATTGTGTTGTAGATATTGCCACTATGAGTCGGAGCCGACTCAACGGCCCCTAACAACAACAACAACAACAAAGGCTCCCTGACCCTAAGCAAGCCACTTCAGGACCTTAAAACACTGGGTACATATTCTGCCTTGCAGGGTGGCTGTTAGGCTTTCATGAGGTTATGGACTAGAAGCACCCTGCATGTGCCAGCCATGAACAGCACTTGACAAATACTGCTGCTGCTCTTCAACACTTCTTTCCCCATGAACTTTCCCCAGTGGCCAGTTGCTAATGACGTCACCCTGAACAATCTGATCCTTGGGGTTAACTCCTACACTGAAAATGTCAAATGATTTGAAATTTCAGAGCCAAAACTAGAAAACTAGTATTTGTTGGATGTCTATACTGTATAAGGCACTGTGCTAGACTCCTGACCCCTTCATTTATTTCTCACCCTTTCACAGCCTTATGAGGTGGTAACCATAGCCTTACTTTATTGAAGAAGAAATAGGGGCTTAGAGTAGTTACAAAGCTTATATGCTTATATGTCACAAAGCTTATATGCGGCAGAAAAGTATTTGTTCCAGTCCTGTCTAGTTCCAAAAACTTATGCTTCTCCATTTGCCACACACTGGGTAAAGGACATCCTGTGTACAGGGGACAGAAACTTTGCTATCATCCAGTTTCCCTTCCTCTAAATTATCACAAAACTTCATGCCTTGAAGGTCAGGGCCCAGCCTGTTCCACTTATCTCTCCAAAGACCAGTGTAGGGGCTGGTGACAGTAGGGCTGTCTTTAAATAGTGACATAAAAACAAAATGATTGGGGCCTGTCAGAGAGTAATTCAATCAACATAACAGGGGTCAGGCGAGCAGAGGGGCAAATACTGAACACTGACCCGCCACTTTTCCTGGTCTTGAGGACCATGTCCTTGTTGCACTGAGGACACTTCCTGATGGGCTCTGGCATGGCAGGGTAGATCTCTCCTTGCTGGGACACCTCAGCTCCTTCCCCAAAATACTGGGACAAAGCCTCGTCCAACCTGCAGAAAAAGACAAAAAAAAAAAAAAAACGCACAGTAGGCTGCTCACAGCAAAGGCCATTTGCAACATCCATACATGGATACAATATGCATGTGACTTTAGGACCCAGCCAGCCAGTGTGGCCACAGGCCCAGAACAGGATGACAGGAGGGCTGAGCTCACCAAGTGGCTCATGGACTCCCAGCTCCTGGACAGTACTGGAAGGAACCCAGCTACTGGCAAATAAAGAAATACCCCCCTCTCCTGCTTCTGTGTTGTCATTGCTATACACTAAACAAATACAACTGCAAAGTGTCCATACGGAAGTATCTGTACAGTTTGAGTGTAAACCAGCTCATGCACTTCTTTTCAAAGCTGACAGAGGGGAAAAAACATGTTTTGCTAACAAAAGCAATATAAACTACCTGCTAAATGAGCACCTCAAGTCTTTCAGAGACTAAGCAGTTACATACCAGCATCTGGGTTTATTCATCTGACACTACGTGCTGCCCACTAATTCAAGGCAGGCATCAAGAGAATGGTATTTCTAAAGTAAACTGCCTGGAGTAAGTGGGCTGGGTCTTTCTGATTATTATTCCTATTCTGACAAAGCTCTATGGAAAGGAAAAAACAAAAGACAGAGGAGGGAGGCTCAAAGGGTAGACGCTGGTATGGAAATGCCCCAGGCACAGGTAACAAGTTGCTGGTGAAGATGAGCTCATCTGGTAGTGACTCAACACCCCAAACACCACAGGTTATAAGGAATGAAACCACTTTTTTCCTGCTGAAAGATTCTCTTCAAACTACCACTTCTTATTAGGGAACAGTTATCATCAAGGCCTCTGAGTCCAATGACCCCTGGGGCAGACCAGGTTCTGGCACTCACTTCTTAGCTTTAGCCACTGCTTCAATGAAAACCTGCTTGTATTTCTGGACTTGCTGCCTTAGAACCACGAACTTGTCTTTCTTGCCTTCACAGATCAGCTTCAGATCAGCCTCCAGCTCAGCCCGGAGGTCCGGCTTAGACATCTCATAGCCCATGGAATCATAGCCTGTAAGGAGAGCACTTCTGTGAGGACTAGCAGGGCACTGTATCCCCCCCACACCCGCCGTGGACACTTCCTCCTCCTTACCTTCCACAAGCCCCATTCCTAGGTGCCCTGGGAGAAACCGCTTGTCTGCTGTAAGCCCCACGTACATCCGGGCTTTGATCGTCTCAATGTGCTCCGCATGGGTGGCATCAGTACCTGAAAGTCACTGCCCAGTTACTCTGAGGTAATACAGACACTGCTGAGCAGACTGTAGCACCTCAATCATGATAGGATCTTTTCGGTGCCTGGTTTCTTTTCCAGACTCCGTTCATAAGAACCTACCCAGAAGTCACAATGCCAGTTGTGGGTCTACTTCACGTCTATGCACTCATCCAATTACTCACAATAGCCAACAGCCCATCCTCGAAATATCTTCCTCAAATCTTCCTCCTCCATCCTATGTGTCACAGAGCCAGGGTCAGAGCCCACATCAACTCACACATGTTATTGTATAACGTTCCCAGTCTCCTCTTCCTCTAACCCATTCTCTATGTTGTGGTCAAAGTATCTTTTGAAATGAACTCTGCCATCAGGGAAATGCAATCAAGACCACAATGAGATATGACTTCATACTCACTAAAACGGCTACAGTAAAAAAGATAGTAACAAGTGTTGACAAGGATGTGAAGAGACTGAAACCTTTCCCCATTGCTGGTGGATTGATTGTAAAATGTTGCAGTGACTTTGGAAGAGTTAGGCAGTTCCTCAAAAACGTAAACACAGAGTTGACATATGACCCAGTAATCTCATTCCTAGGTATATACCAAAGAACTGAAAACAGGTATTCAATCAAAAACTTGAATATGAACGTTCCCAGCAGCACTATTCATAATAACCAAAAAGTGGAAACAACTCATATGTCCATCAACTAATGAATGGGTAAATAAAATGCAGTCTATCTACACAATGGAATATTATTCAACCATAAGAATGAAGTTTGGAAACATGCTACTGCACAGATGAACCGTGAAAACATGCTGAATGAAAGAAGTCAGTCACAAAAGGCCATGTATTATATAATTCTGTTTATATGAAATGTCCACAACAGGCAAATCCTTAGACAGAAAACAGATGACTGACTGCCAGAGACTAGGGGGGATTTAGGAGAGAAACAGAGGGTGACCGTTTAAAGGGTACAGGGTTTCTTTTTGGGATGATGAAAATGTTCTAAAACTGATTATGGTGATGGCTGCACAAATCTGTGAATACACTAAAAAAAGACACTAAAGTATATTTTAGATAGGTAAATTGTATGGTATGTGAATTATGTCTCGATAAACCTATTATATACACTTTAAAAAAGCATAGTTTTTATGTTGCTCCTTTACTTAGAAATCTTACAGTGTTCTCTGCTGACCATAGATCAACAAGCTCTGTAGTCTGCCCCAAAGGCCTTCAAACTCTGGTGGAAATTAGGGACTGTGGAGTTATTCAGACCCAGGCTTTCACAACTCACAAACTTTGTGAATATAGGTAAGTTCTTAATCTCTCCAACCCTTACTTCAAGTATAAATGGGGATAAGAATATAACACCTACACTACAGAGGAGTTGTGCAGATTAAGTAAGGTAGAGAAATGATACTTCACATAACCTCAAGTTACTGACCAATGCCATGCTTTTCCATGAGGGCAATGAGGTCAGCTTCGGTGAGCAGCTGGGGTGGGCTTGTCTCCCCGTCCACCATCTCCACAGTGCTGGGCTGGAAGTGGGAGCCTCTCTCATAGACAGGAATGGTCTACAAAGAGTGGCACAAGGTTCAGTCAGATCATGCTATCATCATACTTAGGAAAAGACAAGCTGCATTTCAAACAACAGGGTCCTGCTCCATCAGACGGCAGCAGGGCTGAGAACACAAGTATCTTCCCCAACTCCATGAGGCTCACAGGGCCAGACATTCTGAGATATAGCACCTGACCTCTGCCTGAAACTATGATTCTTCACCTTGTTGCTCCAGTGATCATATGGGTATACATCCAGATAGTTCCGGGCCAAAACCATGAGGCCATGAGCCAGGAACCGCTCCTGGGCGATGTCGATCTCCACGGTGGTCTCCTGCCCCTGAGCATCCTGGGAGCAGCATGCGAGGAAATGGCGAACAATGAACTCATATAGTCGTTGCTCATCTCCCTGTGAAGGAAAGAAAAGTCTGAAACTCCCTCAAGAATACTAACTCTCATGAGTATTGGTATCATCAGTGGTTTAAACGTTAAGTCACACCCCTTTCAGCCAAAAGTTCTGAACAGGGCAGGGCACACCATTCCTCAAGGTTTCTGCACTAACATGGAGGGACCAGACACATCCTCTGGACGCCTATGAGTTGAGGCTGAAAAACTTCACAGTTCTAATCAGGATTAAGATAAGCAAAAGACTCATTTTCCCTTCCAAACCCAGAAGTGATACTTGTGACATTAATCTAAACAGAAAACAAGATGAGAAAATAAGAGTTAGCAAGAGATTCCCTAACATATAAACCACTGCCCCTGGCAACTTTAGGCCAACTTTATGAACATAATCATGTGATGAACACAACCAAGCAGTACTTTCTTAGGAGGATTTTTGATTAGTCAAGTTAAAGATTTAGGGGTGTTCAACCTATCAAAGCCTTGAAGATGTTCATAACTCATATCCAACCATTTTCCTTCAAATAATTTATTCCAAGGAGGGAATGAGACTGACACAAAAAAGCTGTTACCTCTAGTATATAAGGTTGCAAACAACCAACATTTGAAAAAATCAGGTTAGCAGAATAAATTATGCAATCATTAAAAACTATACTTTTAAAGAAAAATCCAGCATATGTGGAAATGTTCATGATTTTAATGGAAAAAACAAAAATGATATAAAATGCAAAAAAGGAGTTTACAAAGTTATTTAAGATCCCAATTTTCTTATAAGAATTTTATGTACGTGCATAGAAAAAAGGTGATTCTTATTAGGCAGTGGGATTACAGGCATATTTTTTCTTCTTTATGATTTTCTGTATTTTCCAAATTCCCTAAAACTAACATGTATTACTTTTATAATCAGAAAGAATAACACATGCTGTTAAAAGGAAAAACAAAGCTAAATTTACTTAGCTTTGTAATTAGCGGAGTTCTGGTGGCACTGTGGTTAAAACATTGGGCTGCTAACCAAAAGGTTGGTGGTTTGAACCCACCAGCTGTTCTGTGGGAGAAAGATGAAGCAGTCTGTTTCCATAAAGATTTTTATAGCCTTGGAAACCTGTGGGGCAGTTGTACCCTGTCCCATAGATTGCCATGAATTAGAATCCACTCGATGACAGTGAGTTTTTTGGGTATGTAATCAGCCTGCAGTAGTAAAACAAGTTAAAAAGCCCCTGCTTTCAAGGAGCCCACTCTCCAGCTGAGAAAATGATAACTGAAACCTGTGAAACAATCAGGAGTAATGAAACGTGAAGATTTTGCAGTGTACAGAATATGACAAGAGTGTGGATTAAAGTTTCAGGGCAGAGATGGACACTGATCCCATCTTTGAAGGATGGACAGGATTCTTATCACTAACAAGGCAATCCAGCTTTGGGTGGGTGTGGGCGTGGCAGTAGGTATGGGTATCAGCATGAGTGAGGGTGTGGTGGTGGGTACTGATGAGCATGGCAAGTGTGGTGGTGGACATGGGTGTAGGTGTGGGTATGGTGGTGGGCGTGGGTGTAGGTGTGGGTATGGTGGTGGGCGTGGGTGTAGGTGTGGGTATGGTGGTGGGCGTGGGTGTAGGTGTGGGTATGGTGGTGGGCGTGGGCATGGCAGTAGGTGTGGTAAATGAGGGCATAGGTGTGGCAGTGGGTGTGGGGGCTTTACAAATGCATAGAAAAGGTGTAAAAGGTGTGGTGTCCACTCTGTGTGTGGAGGGTTAGTGAAGAAACCAGAGGGCATCTGACAGAATCAGCAAGTGAGGCTGGATAGAATGTACAGCCCCTAATGGAGGGTCTTTCATGAAAACCAGGCAGAAGACTGTGAGATAAAATTGGGACACTGACTTCTCTTTTCTGGTATGTTGTTGTTATGTGCTGTCGAGTCAGACCTGACTCATAGCGACCCCTCCTTGGGTTTCCGAGGCAATATCACTATGGAAGTAGATTGCCCAACCTTCCTTCCGAGGAGTGGCTGGTGGATTTGAATCGCCAGCCTTCTGGTTAGCAGTCAAGTGCCTTAGGCACTATGCTACCACAGTTCCTTTTTCTTGTATAGAAGAGGTATTTAAAAATCACTTATTTTCTGAAACAGAAGTTCAGAGAGTAAATTCAAATCCTGCTTTTGACCCCTTAGTACCTCTCACTGGGCCTGGCAGGTGGTGGTGATAGAAGTATACTTAGAAACTAACCTGCAAGCTGCTGGTGTATTTGGTGGGGTGAATGGGAGGGTGGGCTTGGTCCGACTTATTCCCATTGCGGGGAGTGGGGCCGCCCTGCTCTAGAATTCTCTGGGCAAAAGCCCCCCAGTGTGGATCCCGGATCTGCTGTTCCACCAGTACCACCAGGTTCAGGTCTCTGGGGAAAATGTTTGTTTCAGTTCGAGGATAGCTGATGTACCTAAACAAAGGCAAAAAGAAAGAAAAAGAAATGTCAAGGTCCTTTAGTTGGTCTGTAAACAGTTCAGCTCTGGTGACTCCTGCAAGTGCCTATGTGACACAGCCACCCTGAACTCTGGTTCTAGTGAGGTGGTAGGCAGCAGACTCTGCTGCAGCTTGGTGGAGGTCCAGTGGCCCAGGGTGAAGACTCTGTTGTAGCAGTAGCAGTGGGGCTGGGCAGCGGCAGACCGTTTTGCTCCAATGGAGGAGGTCTTACTGGCTCTGACAGCAGCACAGAATGTGAATCTGCAACTTTACTTAAGGAAAAGGACAATGCTAACTGTAACTCACTGCTGTCGAGTTGGATCTCACTCATAGCAACCTCTCCTTGGGTTTCCGAGGTAGTATCACTACGGAAGGAGGTTGCCCACTCTTCTTTCTGAGGAGTGGCTGGTGGGTTTGAACCGCCAGTCTTCTGGTTAGCAGTCAAATGCCTTAGGTCCTATGCCACCAGAGCTCCTAGGACAATGCTATCCAACAGAAATATAATGTGGACCCTGTTATCTAATTTAAAATTTTCTAGTTGTCATAACTGGAGTCCTTGAGTGGTGTAAACAGTTAAATAAATGCTGAACTACTGGCCAAAAGGTTGGTGGTTCTAACCCATCCAGAGGTGCCTTGAGAAATAAAGGCCTGGTGATCTGCTTCCAAAAGGTCATAGCCTTGAAGACTATAGAGCCGCTCTACTGTGACACACCTGGGGTCATGAGCCAGAACCGACTTGGCAGTAACTAAGAACGGCAGCCACTTTAGAAGAGTAAAAAGACACCTATTCTACAAGTGTGTAATCAACATAAGAAACTACTAATGAGGTAAGTTACATCCTTTTGTCACATCAAACCTTTGAAATCCAGTGTGTATTCTACACTGACAGCACATCTCAATTCAGACAACCTCTCTCTGGAATCCCTGGTTGCATGTGGCATATGGCCACAGGCAAACAACACCAAGAGGTGCTGCTACCTGCCCCCTGCCTAGCCCTTGAGAGGTTGTGAGGGGTCAATAGCAGGATTTGAATTTACTCTGCGGGTTCTTACTTTAGCAATAATTGATTTTGAAATCTTTTCCATGTCAAAAAAATATCACAATTATTCCATTTCAAGGATAAGGTGACAGATATCTAGACTGTTCCTCCTTTGTAAGTTTTATTTCTAAAATATTTCATCCTGATAAAGGTGCACCAAAATCTACTCCCAAATCTAGAGTATTTACCCTTGAGTGTAGAGCCTTTCGGCAATCCTCATGGTTTCTTTTGCATTTATTCTCAACTTGCGTGAAGCCAGCTTCTCAAGTTCCTGTTAAGTGAGTCAGCAGGCATGTTAGGGTGAGTGGTGTCACAGGGGACCAAGTAACACATACTCATCTTCCAGAACACGTTTCACTCCTACCACTCCAGCTGCTGCTGTCATATTGGGAGCAGGGAGAGAGCTGCTGTCCTCAGTAACAATTAAAAGTAATAGTGACAAGGGATAATTAGGGGAAGAAGCAAGATCTGCCTTGAGACATGTCCTCTGCCTTTTGCGCCTGCCCCACAAGCAATCCCGGCCCTGGGCCCAGCCATCTCACACAACTTACATGTTTGTTGAACATGATCCCTTACACTTGAATATGACTCAGAATTACAAACACAGAAGTGCCAACTAATTACAGAGGCAGCAATCGGGTACTGCAGCAATCCTCCAGAGGGTCTAATATTATCTACCTGGGGGCGCCTTAGGCATCTCATTACATTTCTCTGGGCCTGTGTTTCTTCATCTGTGGAATTAAACAAAGGTGCTCTGGTGGTATAGTGGTTAAAGAATTTGGCTGCTGACCATAAAGGCCAGTGGTCCACTAGCTGCTCCAGGCAAGAAAGCGGAGGCAGTCTGAGTCCGTAAAGCAATACAACCTTGGAAATCCAATGGGGGTTGCTATGAGTTGGAATTGACTCGATGGCAACGAATTTGTTTGTTTGTTTTTGGTTTATGGGGAAAACAGGTAATAGCAAGAGTTTTCAAACCTGGCTGTACTCAGAAGCACCTGGCAGGCTCCTTAAAATCCAGAGTCCCAGGCCTACAGTGGATCAGTGCATTAGAACCTCCAGGATTAGGGACTAGAAATTTAAATTTCTCATCAGCTCCCAGGCTGATCCACCAGCTGGGCCCCATTCTTCAGAGGCCCATGGGTCAGAGCAACCCCAAGGGCTTCTCTAGATCCATTCTGTCCATAAGGGTCTGTCGTCACCTCACTGGGGCCCCCACAGGGGTCACTACGCAAGGGGACAAGCACGGTGGGCATATCTACACCAATGTGTGACTGTAGCCAGTCCCACTGTAACTAGCACACAATCTGGCACAGAGCCTGAGGTAGTAGCTCAGCCAAGGTCTGAGACTCACACCTGTGTCAGGAAACCATGTGATAAAAGCATATGGAAAGGATATGATGAGGTTGCTATAAGAATGCTGGCCCATTGTTCATGTCAAGGAGGCTGTATCTTGCAGCACAGGTGGTTCTGCACAGGTGGGACTGATTTTGCAGCATATCCTCAGGGCATGAGCTGTTTTTTTTACAAGGCACTTATGATGTGCATTCTAGGATCACAGGTATATCTAGGATTCAAGTGTAAGTCTCCTATGCTGTGAGCCTCACAGTTTGTGATACAATTCCCTTAGTGCAGTAGCCATCCACAATCTGCCCCTTCTTGCCTTTGTAGCTTCCTCACAGACATGCTACAACCATCTGTAAGAACCCTGCCTTGGCACCACTGTGCCTCCCTGATTTTGGGTCTTTCTACACACTGCTCTCTAGTCTCCTCACAGGTGCATCCTGGAAAGGCCCCCTCACAGAAGAATCCCCAGCCCATTGTGGTTCTGTGTTCTCCTAAATATACCACTGGCCCGACCATGACTCAGCAGAGGGCAGATGGTGCTGCACGGCTATTAATGTGGGGATGCCCCACTCATCTATATGCTTTGTGAGGATAAAGACTGTGTTGGTCTGGTCTACCCTTAGATTCCCAGGGCCTAAGTGCTTAACAAATGTTAAATGAACAAGTAAATAGAACTAAACTAGTGTTAACAGATCATTTCTACTTAATCAAAACCAGTCACTCTCTTCATTAATCCTAGTCTCTCTCTACTCTCTAGGAGCTGGGGCATGCCTCAGGAAAGGGGAATACTTGAGATCTGCGTGACACACTCTTGCCAACTTGGAAAAGAGGGAGGGAGATGATGAAATTGATACACATATGCAAAATCGATTCAAGGAGAACAGCTGATATTGAAATCAATGCATTAAAATAGCTAAAAAACAAAAAACCAATGTGTCTGTAGCAGTATCTGGCTCTGGTACAGAAGCAGGACTAGGAGTGGCTAGGGGTAGATGCTGCTTTGTCTTCCTGGCCCAGCACAGGTGAGGGATGCTATGGTCTTAGAATCTGACCCTTTGTGACCTCCCCGAGGTAGACTGCTGACAGGTGGCCTGAACTCATCAGCTTTGAGATTCTGGTCCCATGGGAAAAAGATGTAGCCATGAGATGGATGGACAGGCAGATGCACCAATCTGTCTTCAACTTTATCCAATGTCCCTAGTTCTGATTCCAGCTTACCAATCAACTAATGACTATAGGACGACTTCTCAAGGTGATGGGTCCAGAGAGAATCAGATTTGGGATAAACAGACTTGGGGAAGTGGCTCCGAAGTATGGTCTGGTTTTCCACGTATTTGCACTAGGGAGAGATGCAGTGCATACTGGCAACTTCTAACTGTAGACAAACTGGCAGCCCTGGCTCTGAGCAGCAGTCTGAGCACTCAGTGAATATGAGCCTGTTGCTGAGAAAGGAACGGTCCCAATGTGTGCAAGGCAGATTTCTAAGTCTTTCTGGCAGAACTAGACCCCAGCCCAGGGGTCTCAGACTCTGAGGTGCATAGAGAAGTGAACCCTGGGAAACAAGCCAACTCACAGCCCTTGAGTACCAGGGATTCTGATAGAGGAAGGGTGGGAGAGGAGCCAGGAGCCTGCATTTTAACAAGAAGGCTATAATATCGACTCTTAACATGGGTAGTTTGAGAACCTCACTTTGGGAACTAGTACTCCAAGACCCACTGAATCCCCTGGATGATGAATATCATTCTTTGAGGTGACCTGGGAGATAATCAGTTGTTATTTTCCCTTGATGATACTTCAACAACACTGTTCACTGTATGGCAATGCATTTTTAACCAGTAAGGAATAAAACACATAAGCCTACTCTATAAAATCACCCCAAAACTTTCCCCTTAGTCCTTTATCACACACAAACATGACCCTACCTCCTCCATGTACGGTTCACCTACAGAGTTGATCCTGAACGCAATGATAACTAGAATTTTCCTGCAAAATGGGACCCGGGAAGGGATATCCCTGATGCGATTTACCCAGACTTGTGTTCCACAGGGGTTCTCTTTATTGGGATTAAGACGTTTCAAAGAATCTTGTTCTATAGTAGGCCCAATAGCATATATTTAAAATTATGTTTACACAGATTATGTAGCAAGATGGAAGAAATTCTTGGGTGAAAAACAAGAAGCTACTCTGACTATAATGCTGTCAAAAACATGCATATTAAAAAAATAGGAAAATACTATTACTGAACATTCTGATTAAAGATTCTATAGAAGAATTCTGATCAAAAGGTGACAAATGCAGAACCAAATTTCAAATTCAAATGGAATCCAGATTTCTAGAGCCATGGAGGCTTGATGAACACCCAGAACTATTGCCCTGAGATAATCTTTGATCTAAAACTATCCCTTGAAGTCTTCTTAAAAACAATAGTTTAGCAGAACTGGTAAAAAATGTTTGTCTTGAGCATTTATACTCTTTTAAGAGCTATCTACATGGGATCAAACTGACAACAGCAACTCAAAAAGTCAGAAAGGAACTATAGTGGGCAGTGAGTTTATGCTTATGAAGGAGGAACAACTAAGAGGTTGAACAGGGTTGTACAACTAAAAAAATGAATTGTACATGTAAAAACTGTTGAACTGGTATGTTTTGCCGTGTATTCTCAACAACAAAATAATTATTAAAAAAATAGGAAGACATAACAAGTGTATCAATAATTATATGAAAATGATGAGATTATACGTGGTTTGTCTTCCTCTTTTTGTTTTCCAAACCTCACAAAATGCAGTTACACTGCATTTTTTTTTTTTTTTTTTAAAAAGCAGCATTATAAGGCTAAGCAGATCCAGGTTTTGGGATTTCTGTTTTTCCCAAGAGGTTTCTTGTGGCCTGTGAAGGGTAGGCCCCAAGTCTGGGTAGTGTAACCCATCCCAACATCAGGAAGTGCACATTACTCAGTGGATCTACCCAGAACATACCACAGTGTCCAGAGCTTGAGGCCTCCACTTGCTCTTCGGCTTGGAGCGGACCTCTATCACAGTCGCCAAAGGATTCTAGAAAGCCAGGAATAGAGAAGACCACATTGACCTGCTGGCACAGCACCCACAGATTTCCTGTGACAGCCCTGCTCAGCATTACAGGTGACACTGGCCAGCACCTCAGTTGGTGCTGAGGGGTGTGCCCTTGTTTGACGCAGGTGGGTGTTGTGACCACCTTCCTGCACAAACCAAGTGTTTAGAGAGCAAGTCCACAAGCCATATTTTCCTCCTCAGGAGCCTAGGAAACAAGGAGTCTGCATTTCTGAAGTATGGTTCCCATGCATTGGTGTTACTACTTTTTAAAATTCAGGATAGTATAAAGTAAAAGAGGAGAAAATACACAACACAAGTTAGAAAACTCCAATCTTAAAACCAATTTTTGAGAGACTGAAAATGGACAAAGAACTGAACTGAAGTTATTTACTAATGAGGATCTGTGTATATCAAAATTCGCAATTCTCCCCTGCAATAGACTGGGGACCCCTGCTGGGACTTCTTACACCACCTCCTGGTGGAGTCAAAGAGGGCAGGTACTTTTTTGTTTTAGACAAATGAGCAGTGTCACAGAGGCTCCAGTGGTATGTGAAGTAATGGGTAAACAGGGGCCTCCTGGAAACAATGTGGTCCATAGCAAGAGCATGGGCTAGAATGTGGATATACTAGGTTTACATCTGCACTTTTCCATCACTAGCTCTAGTGTCTGTGATCAGGCTACTGAACTTTCTCCAGTTTCCTCACCTGTAAAATGGAGATACTGCTACCATGCTCAGGCATATGAGGATTAAATAAAGTAATGCACCACATAAAGTGGGACTTGGTGCACCGAGATGCTCAATAACCACCAGTCCCCTTTACCAAACCAGTACTATATCAGCCACTGAGCTACAGCCACATGATTAATCAAACCAAAGGTCTCTGGACTTGACTTTGGCACCAATGTGCAGTCCCTGGGTTGAACTAGTTACTTCCGTTCTGACTGACAAAGGTGGCATCATAAAAAGGACAGCCTGAAGGTTAGGGAATGTGAAGGTTGGGCCCTGACTCTGCCCCTGACTAGCCAGTGACCCTGAGGTGTTCCTTTGATGTAGAGCACTCTTGCCTCATCCCTTCCCCTTCTAATCATTCAGTCCTTCTCTCAAATGTTGCCCTTTCAGAGATGTCTTTCCATTGCCCTCTCTACCCTCAAGGCTGTTCTCTTTCCTTTACCCAGGTTTATACTTATCACTGTAGGAAATGAACTTGTTCACATGGGCTTGCTGACTGTCCTGTTTCCCCTACACAAAGGAAGCAATTTCATCTGCCCTGTTCAATGCTATGTCCCAAGTACCTAAGACAGTGTTTGGCACACAGAAAATGCTCAGTAGAAATGTGACATGTGCCTGTCATCCCTTTGGATGTCCTCATCTGACCAATGGAACAGAGGTCTAGACCAGATGCTGTCCTAGATCCTTCCCGCTCTCGGAGTCTGGGACACAGATCCTGGTGAATCTCTGGTGTGTTTGGCTCCAGGAAGAGACTATAGTGAAACAGTTCTCAACATCACTGATTTTTATTTAAGTTCTACAGTACATGCAGATGGGAACAGATCTTTCCCTTCCATTTTTTGGTGCCATTTTCACTGGGTTCTACTTTTACTGGTTGGCAAACACTGATGCTCTTAGATGCAAACTTACAGGACATAGAAAAAGCTACAGTTAAGTGGGAAAAGGGGACAGGATCATCTCTGCCAACAGACAGGGAGAGTTGGGACATATGTAGAAGGCTTTTTCCTAGTTCATGAAGATTTCAAAAGTATTTCTTACCTCCATACAAAGCTGATAGAGGACAAGACAAGCTGTGTGGTTAAAGAGACGATGCCTTTTCCAGTTGAATTCTACAATGCCTTCTTTGTGCTCATGAGTTACTGTATTGGGAAAAACAAGCAAGAAAACTGTGACTCGGAGAAGCTACATGATGTTATGATCAATAAAAATAATATTAAAGTGAAAGTCAAAGGAATACGAAGCACAGAAGTTTCTTGACAGCTAAGGAAATCTCAAGTGGATTCCGAATAGTACAAGGAGCAAGACTAGACATCACACATCTAACTCGTGCTATGGCTGCTCCATGGTCCCTGTTATTTCTGGGCCTTCCAATTCCATGACTGTTACAGACTGAACTGTGTCCTCCAAAAAATATGTGTTGTAAATCCTAACCTGTAGACTCGTGAATATATACCCATCTGGGAATACGGTTTCCTTTGTTATCAGTGTGAAGTGTGTCTTAAGTCAATCATCTTTTGAGATACAAAACGAGCAGTATAAGCACAGAGAAGGAAATTCAGATGGGGGAAGGCAGATGCCATACCACGTGAAGATCACCAAGAAACTGAGGAACAGAAGCTGAAGAGAGAGACCTTTTTCCAGAACTGACAAGGAGAGAAAACCTTGTTCTAGAGCTAGTGCCCTGAATTTGGACTTCTAGCCTTCTCAACTGCAAGAAAATGAATTTTTGTCCATTAAAACCATCATTTGTGGTATTTCTGTTATAGCAGCACTGGATAACAAAGAGAATGCTGTAAATAAGACTAGAAGTCATAAATTTAACTAATGCTATGACCCCTCCTCCATGGTCCCTCTGTTATTCCTGGGCCTACTGGCTCCATGCCATAAACAACCCTTTGCTTACCTTTAATTCTATGGAAGGTTTCTGGTACAAAAGCCTGAATGGCTTTGAATCTCTCCACCACAAACCCCAGTGTTGGGAACTGGCAGCTGCCATAACTGATCAACTGCTCTGCCAGCACCTCAGGGAAAATCTTCTGAAGCCTTAGGGTCTGGAACCTTGTAAAGGCAGCACCTGGAGAATAGACAGGCAGGAAGGGAGGGAGAACATGATGGACAGCAAGGGCAAAGTCAGCTGCAGACATACACCATAAACCCCACAATTCAGCCCCCAACTTGCCATGGGGCCTTTTCTGTGTGGTCCTCACCAATTCGCAGGTCCAGCTCCTGCCTCACATCTACAGCATTGCTCACTCTCTGGTCGGGCTCTGTCAGGTTCTCACAGGCCATCCGGATAGCTCGTGGAGTGATCTCAGAGAAACGGGCTCTCAGCACCAGCAGACCGGGCTTCACTGTAGAACACAGCCAGGTCAGAATCAAGACACACTGCTTCATATCACAACGGGGAAAAGGACTCCCTTTTTTTATGTTACTTTGAATCTGCGAGGAATTCATTTTACTGATATGGTTAAATTCATGGTGTACTGACTAAGAGGCAAACGTCATTATGGTGTCTAAACTGAATACTGTCAGAGATAACAGTGGAGTAAACTCAGCTACTAACCAAAATTCTCCTGGTAAGCTTTGTGAAAATTTAGTCTCACTTGCTCTTTTAGACCTTTAGGGAAAAGATAAACTTTGCCAATTAAAGGGTCCTATGGGACAATGTTCATCATCTTTCATGACAGAATATAGGATTTTTACTGTTCTTGATAGATATTCAAAATCCCAAGAGACATCACAGCTTTTTACACAAATACACTTAGGGAAAACAGCATACTCCCCACCTTAGAATTGTCTATTCACCACTTTCTCTAAGTTACTTGAAACCAATATCCCTGTTAGAATTATTCAAATTCACTTCATTAAGTATTTCTTAATACTCACTCAGGCATTGAATAAAGAATATGGGAGATTTAATGAAAGTAAAGAAAAAGTTTATACACAGAAAGAAACATTTTATGAAAGTTACCAGGAGTGGGAGGGGAAGAGAGGGTAAAACACTAGATAGAGTGTGGACACACAATTAACTTGTGTGAGGGGAAAGGCAATATACAACAAGGGGAAAGTCAGCATAAAACAGTCAAGGCAAGGAAGATATTGGGAGGAGCACAAGAGTTAAAAGCAATAAAGATACATACCATTACATAAACAATCCTGAAATAACAGTAATAACAATAATCTACAAGTAGATACATAGACACACAGGCTGAACAACAGTGGGAAGTGAATGGGATTTTACCTATGAATAAATACAGGTTTGACAAAGGATATTTCTACATATGTATTTACATATGCTGCAAATACATCCATGAATACATACAGCTTACAAGGTGCAACAAAGTTTTCATAACTAAACACCCTGAGGGAGTAAGTCACTGGGTCTGGGGGCTCAGAACTCAGGACCATAGTCTTGGGGACACCAAAGTCAACTGGCGTAACATAGTCTACAAAGATAATATTCTACATTACACTTTTTTTTTTTTTTTTTAATTGTGATTTGGGTGAAAGTTTACAAAGCAAATTAATTTTCTATACAACAGTTCATCTACATTGTTTCATGACATTTACTGCAGTCCCTACAATGCAGCAGCTCTCTTCCCACTTCCTCCCTGTGTCCTTCTTTCCTATATATTTCTGCCTTCTGAGCTATCTCCTTGTACAAGTACTGCTCTTCTGATCTCTCATGGCTGATCATTTTAAGGAGTACACCTACCTGGTGTAAATGTTCACTTTATATGCCTGTCTACTGTTTGACTGGAAGCCCCAAGAGTTCTACATAATACTTTGGTGAGTAGTGACTGGAGTCTTGAAAGCTTATGAGCAACCATCTAAGGTGTAACTATTAGTCCCTCACCGTCCAGAGCAAAGAGGAGTGAAGAAAATAAAAGATGCAAAGAAACAACTGGTCCAAAGGCTAATGGAGCATTGTGATCCCCAGCCTCTATGACCTTGAGACCAGAAGAACAAGATGGTACCTGGCTACCACTGTTGACCACTCTGAAAGGGGTCACAAGAGGAAGTCCTGGATAGAGTGGGAAAAAATGTAGAACAAGACTCAAAATCATAAAAACTTACTGCTCTGATAGAGGCTGGTAGACCCTCCTGAGACTATGGCCCTTAGATACCTTTCAGGACTGGAATTGAACTCACCCCTATGGCTCAACTTTCAGCCAAACAGACAGGGCTATAAGTGAACAATGACACCAGGGAGGTTCCCACTCCACAGACCAACCAACCATTCAAGATCAGAAGGGCAGCATTTGCCCAAGGATAAAGCTCAGAAGCAGGAAGGGACAGGAAAGAAGGACATAGGGAAATAGTAAACACTGGAAGGTAGTGGGAAGAGTGTTGTTGTGGGATTACAGTGAATGTCACAAAACAAAATGCATATGAACTGTTGAATGGAAAACCAATTAGCTCTGTCAACTTTCACAGAAATCACAATAAAAAATTAAAAAACAAAACAAAACAAAAAATAAACAGAAGATTTTAGAATGATTCTTTACACTTTGAATTTGGTAGATACACATAAAAAGCAAAGATGTCACTACGAAGACTAAGGTGCACCTAACCCAAGCCATGATATTTTTCAATCACCTCATATGCATGTGAAAACCAAAGAATTGACACATTTGAATTATGGTGTTGGCAAAGAATACGGAATATACCATAGACTGCAAGAAGAACAAACAAATCTCTCTTGGAAGAAGTAGAGCCAAAATGCTCCCTAAAGTGAAGATGGAGAGGTTTTGTCTCATGTACTTTGGACATATTATCAGAAGGAACTAGTCTCTGAAGAAGCACATCATGCTTGGTAAAGGGTCAGTGAAAAAGGGGAAGACCATAACGAGATGGACTGATAAGGTGGCTGCAATGATGGGCTCAAACAAAGCAAGAGTTGTGATGAATGCACAGGACTGAGTAGTGTTTTGTTCTGCTGTACACAGGGTCACCACAAGTTGGAATAGACTCAACAGCACCTAACAATAACAACATATATGTATATGCATGCATACATATACACACACACACATATGTATATACACACACATATATATGTATATATGGGGTCCCTGGCTGGCACAAACAGTTAAGTGCTGGGCTGCTAACTAAAAGACTGGCTCCTTGAACCCACCCACAGGTGCCATGAAAGAAGGCCTGGTGACCTACTTCCATAAAGATTATGGTCCCTGGATTGTGCAGACATTCCATGCTCAGCTGAGGTTGGTAGTTCAAACCCACCCAGCAGCAGCATCCAAGAACCAGGCCTGGCAATCCATTATCACAAAGATTATAGTCAACTCCACGCTGTAGCCAACAGGGTCTCTATAAATGAATACCTCAACAAACATAAATCAACAACAGAGTGACAAACATTCACTCACTCTTTGGAGCAAAAAGAGCATAGAAAATCAAAGAGTAAGGAAACAAATAGTCCAAAGGACTAATGGACCACGCAAACCCCAGAGTCCACGACTATGACACCAGAAGAACTATATGGTATCTGGCTACCAGAGCTAACTGCTCTGAAGGGAATCACAATAGGAAGTCCTGGATAGAATGGGGAACACAAGGTGGAACAAAACTCAAAACGATAAAATTGATCAGGCTTACTGGCCTGACAGAGACTGGAGGGACTCCTGAGACTGTAGCCCTTCAACATCCTTCAAGTGTGGAATTAAACTTACACCCATGGCTCAACTTTAGCCAAACAATTGTTGCCTGTTGTTAGGTGTCATCGAGTCAGTTCTAACTCATAGCGACCCTACGTGCAACAGAATGAAACACTGCCCAGTCCTGTGCCAGCCTCACACTCTTTGCTATAACTGAGCCCATCGTTGCAGACACTGTGTCAATCCATCTTGTTGAGGGCTTTCCTCTCTTTTGTTGACCCTCCATTTCACCAAGCATGATATCTTTCTGACAACATGACCACAGTAGGTGAGATGAAGTCTGGCCACTCTTGCTTCCAAGGAACATTCCAGCTACACTTCTTCCAGGCAGATGTTTTTGTTTTTCTGGCAGTCCATGGTACTTTCAGTATTCTTCACCAACACCACAACTCAAAAGCATCAACTCTTCTTCAATCTTCCTTATTCATTGTCCAGCTCTCACAAGCGTATGAGGTGACTGAAAATACGATGGCTTGGGTTAGGTGCACCTAAGTCTTCAAAAAGACATCTTTGCTCTCCGGCACTTTAAAGAGGTCTTTTGCAGCAGATTTGCCCGGTGCAATACACTCAGAAGGAAAGGATACATGTGGAAGAACTAGTGGCCTATGGATACACAGATATAGGAGAACAGGTTATTTATGTGATCCCAAAGTAAAAAACTCAGAAGTGGCATCACCTACCAGCCTTGCATACGTGGATAATCTCAAACCCAATATTCTCCCCTTCTCTGTCACAATCAGTCCAGATCACCAGAGCCTGGCACTGCCGTGCCTCTCGTTCTAGAGTTTTCTGAAATTCACAATGGGGAAACAGCAGTGAAAGCAGATTCTGAAAAGCAATTACTTGACACTTCTCACTAAAGAATCTGATTGAAAATTAATGGCATTCTTGGAGTACACCAACTTGAGAAAAAAAATATCAGAGGAAACTGTTCCAACCAGCTACAATGAATGGGAGGTCACTAGTGCAGTCCCTCCAGTTTAGAAAACTGAATGTTCAGTAAAACACTCCTGACACACAAGTATAAATCATCTACAACATACATTTATAACCCCCAATGCACACTTACATCTCACTCTTGATATATACTTGTAACTCCCCTGACACATACTTAGAAATTCCCAGACACACACTTACAATTCACCCTTAATACATACTTACAACTCACCTCTGACACATACTCATAACTCACCCCTGACAAACGTATAACTCAGCTCTAACACACTTTTATAGCTCTTCTGGTTCTGATTAGAACTGTTCTTTTAAATTAACACCCAAGTGAATTCCATCCTAAGCTTTCTCAGCTAGCTGTGAACTGTAGGTGCCCTGATTACTTGAGAATAGCACAATTTATTTCCAAATAACTGCTGGCATTGCGTAGTCTCTTAACTCTAATTAGGTGGGGTGAGGGCTAGAAGAATTAATGATGAGTAATACTTACTTAAACAACTATTATTCACAAAATGGCTTACTTTAGTCCCTTGGTCACCTACGTTTTAATGGCCTCATTTACACAAGGTGTGAGAATAATCTTTTTAATCATGATACTGAGTTTGTTGGAATACATTATTTCTAAATTCTAATGCACTAAAAATACAGAAATCACTCATTTTGACTATTTTGTGGTTGTTCCAACCCCAATGCCATATGTCCTCCAAAAGATCCTACCTTGATGCCTACAAAATTCTCTGGGCAGTATTTTTCAATTTCTGCTTCAAAGAGGACAAGGGGATTGCAGCTCTGCCTAGAAAAGAAATAAAAACAGAAGTAGTAGTACAATTTAGAAAAACAAAAATCCTACCTCAGTCCACAATGGAGAGTCATCCATTCTAGTGAGACCAAATAGCTTGGTGGGCTCATGGATGGATCCCCCATAGAAAAAGCTTCAAGTGAAAACCTCAGATGATTAAAAGCAAGGCTCTGACTCTCTTTATAATGTACTTCCCAATTCCCCATGAAGATAATAGAGTGGCTAAGAAGAAATTCTGGAACCCTTTCATGCATACCTGCAGTAAGATATATGCAATTCAATGACTGACCGCATGAAAAAGGTCTGTTTTGGGTGAACGTTTAAAAGCGTTTTCTTATTCTGTAGATAGGATAAAAATTCACAATGAATTAGATATTCTTAGGAGTTCTGGTAGGAGCTCTGGTAGCATAGTGCCTACGGCACGTGACTGCTAACCAGAAGGCAGGCGGTTCAAACCCACCAGCCACTCCTTGGAAGACAGGTTGGGCAATCTACTTCTGTACTGATACTGCTTCGGAAACCCAAAGAGGGGTTGCTATGAGTCGGGTCCGACTTGACGGCACATAACAACAACAACAACAGGTTTTCTTAGTAATATAAAGTTATACAGAAAGATCAATATGTCTCAGAAAAGTCTCTTCCCAAGGAATAATACTGACCATTTTCGAAACTGCATCTGGAAATTGTAAGCCAGCAAATGTCCAGAAACCGAAGTCATTACCATTGTAACATTCTGACAACAAAATGAATGACAACAAAACCTGAGTTATTCTTTTAGCAGTTATATGTTGCCAAGTCATTGAAATAAAATGGAGGGAATTATATGAAAGAAAAAACAAACTAAAACAGTGGATTGGGACCAAACATAAATATAGGTCTGCAAAGCCACAGCAATCCAATTATGCTAGTACCAAAATGCATTTTTTATCATTTAAAATTTTTTCCCTTTTTTTTTTGTTTGCAGATTATATAGCTTTTTTCTTGTTATAAAGGGCTGAGGTGAGACCATATCTTGACCCATAGCAACCCCTTCTTGGGTTTCCGAGGTGGTATCTCTACGGAAGTAGATTGCCCAATCTTCCTTCTGAGGAGTGGTTGATGGGTTTGAACCACCAGCCTTCTGGTTAGCAGTCAAATGCCTTAGGTACTACACCACCAGAGCTCCCGTTAAAAATTGAGTTCTTATAAATTATCAAGGAGCCCTGATGGCACAGTGGTTAAAGTGTTCAGCTGCTAAACAAAAGGTCGGTGGCAGTATGACTACCCTAGCCGCTCTGTGGAAGAAAGATGGGACAGTCTGTTTTCATAAAGATTTGCAGCCTTGGAAACCCTATGGGGCAGTTCTACTCTGTCCTATAGGATTGCTATGAGTTGGAATGGACTTGATGATAATGGGCTTGGTTTGGGTTTTTATAAATTATCAAATAATAACCTGTAACTAGGGACTTTCAGATCAAACAGTAGTTAGTCTTCAAAGACAGTGACATTGCTGTAATATACAGGCCCTTTGATTAAAAAACTCGAAAACAAAATGCAGTTTAGGGACAACTTGTAGTTTTTTTTTTTTTTTTTAAAAAAGGAGTCCTGGTGGTGCAGTGCTTAAAGCACTTGGATACTAACAGAAAGGCTGGTGTTTGAACCCACCAGCTGCTCCACAGGAGAAAGATGTGGCACTCTGCTTCCCTAAAAATTATAGCCTTGAGACCTCTATGGGGTAGTTCTACTCTGTTCCATAGGATTGAGGTAAGTCAGAAATAATGGCAATGAGTATGGTAGAAAGCCAACCTTCTCAGCCACAGCTGAATACCCAAGGCATGTACAACAAATGGCACATAGATCTGAAAGCACACATCAGCTGTATGATGCAAATGCTTCAGTACCTACCTGGCCACATAGGTGATAATCAAATTCATAGATCTTGTTGAATTTGGAAAGTCCTTCCCTCTATAAAATGCAAGAAAAATAAAATCTGTGAGTTTAATTACATTAATTTTAGTGACTCCTCAATTAAAGTTTGCACAAAACCCTGATAAGTGAAAATATTAAAAATACAACAGTATCTCCTACAGATAAAAAATAGACTACACTGAACAACTACCCCAAAGACGATGTAAAACAATCAACCACAAGAGATCAGAAGGGCAGTATTTGCATAGGGAGAAAGCTAGGGAGGCAGAAATAAATAGGCAAGGAGGACACAGGGAAAAGATAAAAGATAATCACCAGGAAGAAGTGGGAGGAGAGCTGTCACATCGTGGGGATTGTAATAAGTATCATGAAACAAAATGTACATGAATTCTTGAATGTAAAATCAGCTTTGTAAAATTTCACCCAAATCACAATAAAATGTCAAAAACAAAAAACAACAAAATCCCTATGGAGCAGTTATACTCTGTTACATGGGGTCGCTATGAGTTGGAACTGATTCGATGGCGCCCGACATTTAGAGAGAATGTCTTATGTGCCAAGCTTGTCTCTGAGCATGCTAGCTGCATCGCATTTAACCTCATCACTATAAAAAAAAGGAAACAAAAGATCATTTATTGAGTAGCTTCTCTAGTTAGCAAGCACATACTTTGTAGAATTCATGGAATTTTTATGCTTCAAGGTATCTTTGAGATCAACTAATATAATATTTTATATATGTGTTACATTTACATTTATATAAGACTGACCTGTCCAAGGTCGTATGACAATTTAATGGTAGAGAAAGGATTAAGTTACAGAGGTTATGCAGACAGAAACCAGACAGAAGCAGAAGAAAGAAACAGCAAAGAGAGAGAAGGCAATGAAGCTTCTAAAAGGGCTGTTAACACAGGTCAAGGGCTCTGATGTTGAAGACAGCAAGAAGCCAAAAAGGGGCCTTTCAGCAGAGCCAGCAGCAACAGGCCTGGAAGGGGACCTGTGGTGGAGTTAGTGGTGATGGTAGGGAGCTAAGAGGGCCTGTCCTGAGGAGTCTGAGAGAAAGCCTGACCCTGGGGGGGGGGGGGGGGGGACACGGGCAGCAGCAACAGGAGGCTTGTCCTTGGTAGGGAGCTGAGAGGAGGCAGGCCCACATGGCTGAGATGATGTGTGCATGGTAAAGAGAAGGGCCAGCTTGCTTGCAAAACCAACAGGAGCTAAGAGAGTTGTCTTGCATTGAAGAGAGGTATGTGCTCTCCTCTTCAGGAGAGCCTTCTAGATTTTGCCTGCAAGCTTTCTTATCCTGATTATGAGTTGCTTCCTTAAAAAACCACTTAATTGTAAGTGCTGTTTGTTGGCCACTGCAATGAAATTTCAAACCCAGAAGAGAAGAGTGCCATGGGAGGGATGGCTGGTGTCCAAATAGTAGAAAGGCTGGAGAGTGGAGGTATATTTGATCTCCACCTCATAGATTATCCCCAGCTAAAAATTATTCCCAGCTAAAGTTAAGGAGCTCTGGTAGCATAGTGGCTAAGACACTTGCCTGCTAACCAGATGGCTGGCGGTTCAAACCCACCAGCCACTCCTCGGAAGGAAGGCTGGGCAATCCTACTTCCATAGTGATACTGCCTCGGAAACCCAAGAAGGGGTCGCTATGAGTCGGGTTTGACTCAACAGCACATAACGACAACAAAGTTAGACAGGTTCTGATGCTAGTACTACTCAAATTTCACAGCCACACAAAGACAGTAACAGACAATGTTTCACTGTTATTCATAAGGTTTTCAGTGGCCAATATTTTCAGAAGTGGACTTGGCCACGTGCTTCTTCCTAGTTTGTCTTAGTCTGAAAACTCTGCTGAAATTTGTTCACTATGACCCTGTTAGGAGCTCTGGTGGCGCAGTGCCTACGGTATTTGGCTGCTGACCAGAAAGCTGGTGGTTCAAACCCACCAGCCAGTCCTTGGAAGGAAGACTGGGCAATCTACTTCTGTAGAGATACTGCCTCAGAAACCCAAGAAGGGGTCGCTATGAGTTGAATCGACTCGACAGCAGTGAGTTTGGTTTGGATGACCCTGTTGATATATGAAATACCAGTGGTGTAGCTTCCAGCATCATAACAATATACAAGCTACTAAAGTACGACAAACTATATGTTAATGCCATTTCAGTTTTTTGTGTGTGTTATTTGGTATGACCTGGTAAATTATTTTCTTGGGTCTGGGAACACTCCAAAATTTTCCCCATATATATAATGTAACAGCAATTGCTTCTTCGATTTATGTTATTTCAGCTCACAAAAGGTTTCACAAGAATGCTCTATTCTCAGATGGGGGGGGGAACCTACAATTTTATGTTTATTTTTTTCAAGGAATTGCCAATATGGCTCATCTTAACTGATAAAGGAAAAAGCTCGACAAAATTCAACACCCTCTCATGACAAAAGCACTCAGAAAACTAAAAATGGAAGAGAATTTCCTGAACATGACAAAGAGCATTTGCAAAAAACAAACAGCAGATATCACAATGTTCAAAGACCGAAAGCTTTTCTAATAAGATCAGGAACAAGGCAAGCATGCCCACCTTTTCAACATTGTGTTCGAAGTTCGAGGCACAGCAATTAGGAAATAAAAGGAGTTAAAAGGCATCTTTTTTGGCAGATGACATCTTACATATTGTAGTCAAGTTAACTGTGTCTTACAGCGACCCTACAGGACAGAAAAGAACTGCTGCATAGGGTTTCCAAGGCTGTAATCTTTAAGAAAGCAGATTGCCAAATCTTTCCCCTGTGAAACAGTGGCAGATTCCAATAAGGCTCCTTGAGATCATATGTAGATTCCTGAAGAATCCACAAACTAACTAAACTATTAGAGAGGTAACATATGAACTCAGAAAAGTAGAAGGATGCAAAATCATGATACCACTACTCATCTGTCATTTTTTCATACTGTGGTGGCATGAGTGTTGCTGTGATGCTGGAAGCTATGCTACTGGTATTTCAAATACCAGCAGGGTCACCCATAGTGGACAGGTTTCAGTGGAACTTCCACACTAAGACACACTAGGAAGCATAGCCTGGAGATCTACTTCCGAATAGCAGTGGAACACTGTCTGATGTAGTGTGGAAAGATAAGCTCTTCAGGTTGGAGGCATTCAAAATATGACCAAGGAAGAGCTGCCTACTCAAAGCAGAACTGACCTTAAATGACATGGATGGAGTAAAGCTTTTGTGAACTTAATTTGCTGATGTGTCAAGCCTCAAAAGGACAAAAAAACAGCTGCAAACATTTATTAATAACCAAATGTGGAAAGTTGTTAAAAATGAAATGGAACTCATAAAGATCAATATCCTAGGCATTGTTGTTGTTGCTATGTGCTGTCGAGTTGGCCCCGACTCATAGTGACCCCTCCTCCTTGGGTTCCTGAGGCAGTATCACTCTGGAAGTAGATTGCCTCATCTTCCTTCTGAGGAATGGCTGGTGGGTTTGAACCGCCAGCCTTCTGGTTAGCAGTCAAGTGCCTTAGGCACTATGCTATCAGAGCTCCTAGGCATTAGTGAGCTGAAATGGACTGGTTTTGGCTATTTTGAATTGAATGGTCATATGGTCTATGTTACGAAAGACAAGTTCAAAAGGAATGGCATCACATTCATCATCAAAAAGAGTATTTCAAGAACTAACCTAAAGTACAATGCTGTCAATGATAGGATGATATCCATATACCTAGAAGGAAGATCAATTAATGTACCTATTTGCAGTGCAGTGAATTGCTTAACAAGGCGCTTCGAGCCATAGCACTCCATTTTATGATATATTGTAAATCCTAGCCTCCATGCCTATGTAGGGTGGGATGTATCTTGAGCCTGTCTTGCTGGAGGGTGTGACTCAAGTCATTACCCTTAAAGTTTCTCTGAGAGTAGATATGTGAATGTTCTGGGAAAGTTCACTCTCTCTTGCTCCCGATCCTGTATTTGGTTCATCATCATCTTGTTCCTGGACTTGAGACAGCAGCCTGGGCTTGAGCAGCAACTGGGTTTGCTACCCATGCAACCACATGAGTGAAGAGAATCCTCCAGACCTACGCCTGACCCATGGATTTGGGACTTGCTGGCTTCCTTGCCTCTACCACCATGGTAGCCATTTCCCTGGCAGTGTGTGAGTTCTGTGAGATGTTTGTTATAGCAAAATAAAGATCCCTAAGACAGGAGGGAAAGTACTAAGGGGAAGAGGAGTTGATGTTAGAGATGATGGAGTGTTACAGCAGTTTGGAAAACTTGGAAATTTAGGACATTTTTAACCTCTGCCTTATAGGGACCAGCCTTGTGCTGATCTTTCTAAAACAAATTATTCGAGCACTATTATTCAAATTTAAGCACCAACCACTCATGCCAAAAAAAAAAAAAAGAAATTGAAGATTTTTACAAACTTCTGCAGTATGGAATAGATCAAACATGCAATCAAGATGCATTGATAATTACTGGTGATGGAACATGAAAGTTGGAAACAAAGAAGGCTCAGTAGTTGGAAAATACGGTCTTGGTGGTAGAAAATGTGCTGGAGATTGCATTATAGAATTCTGCAAGACCAACAACTTCTTCACTGCAAATACCTTTTTACAACAACATCAACAGTGACCATACACGAGGATTTCACAGGATGGAATACAGAGAAATCAAATAGACTACATCTGTGGAAAGATAATGGAGAAGTGCCATAACATTAGTCAGAACAAAGTCCAGGGGCGACTGCTGAACAGACCATCTACTGAATATATGCAAATTTAAGTTAAAGCTGAAGAAAATTAAAACAAGTCCCTTGAGAGCCAAAGTATGACCTTGAGTAAATATCCCACCTGAATCCAGAGACCATCTCAAGAACAGATCTGACACATTGAACACAAATCATAATGATGAGTTGTAGGATGACATCGAGAACATCACACATGAAGAAAGCAAAAGGTCATTAAAAAACAAAGAAAAGACTAAAATGGATGTGAGAAGAAACTCTGAAACTTGCTCTTTAATGTGGAGTAGCTACCATCTTG